CCTGTATTGCATACCTCTATTCCCTTGGCTTTCTTGACTCTCTGCAAGCAAATCTTGAGTCTATCTACAGCCATCACCCACCTTAAGTTTCAGTCTTGAACTGCCTATTGGAGGGTTTTCATGTCAGACCTCAAGTTCATTATGTTTCAAATCGAACCACTTATGCTTTCCTTTTTTTTCTTTTATTTCAGATTTGAAACCATGAGGACACCTGACTCCTCCCTTTGTCCTTTCTTCTATAACCAATTTGCCGTCTTGACCTTTGCAGTTTCTTTCTCATCTGTCCCTTCCTCTGTTTTTCCTTATTACTCTCTTGGATCAGATTCCCCTTGTCCTTTTTTTTGAAACACTTTAATTATAGCAATCTCTTGATATCTGTTCTCAGACATATGACCCACAGATCATGGTTAATTCTTCCCAGAACACAGCATTACTCTTATCACTTCCCAGGCTCAAGACATTTCATGGCTACTATGTAAGCACCTCAGGCAGGTACTCAAGGCCTTTCATAGTTGGTCTTACACTAGCTTTTAAGTTTTGTTTCAGGGGCGCCTGGGTGGCTCAGTTAGTTAAGCTTCCGACTTCAGCTCAGGTCATGATCTCACAGTTCGTGGGTCCGAGCCCCGCACTGGGCTCTGTGCTGATAGCTAGCTTGGAGCCTGGAGCCTGTTTCAGATTCTGTGTCTCCCTCTCTCTCTCTGGCCCTCCCCTGCTCACGCTGTCTCTCTCTCTCTCTCTCTCAGAAATAAAACATTAAAAAACAAAAGTTTTGTTCCAATTATTATCTTTCAGAACCCTTCCAGTTAAATCACGACTTGCTATCCTTGGACTAACTTTCACTTTTCTCTATGTCTCTGCTCAAAATGTTCTTTATAATAGTCTTCTGCTCTGACTTAACTGGAGCAGAACTTATCTGACCTCCCCAGTATCTACAGCATTTTACTGCTCTGTGTAGGCATGCGTGCATGTGATTTGCATCTCTTACTTTAGCACGAGGACAGAGACTGAATCTTATCTTTATGATCAGCTCAACAAAGGGCCTTTTGAATGAATGTTCTAAGCTTCACCGGTACACCTGGATGGAGCAAGCAGGTTAGACCTTGCCTTTCAAGGGCCATCTGCTTGCTGCAAGTTACCCCATGTTTTCTGCAGGCTAGCTGTTACAGCCACTGAGAAATGCAGAGTCACCAAAGTCCTTGGCCAGGAAATGGAAAAGTGTCACATTGGTAGATTTTCTTTTATTTTCCTTTCTTCCTTGCCTCCAGCCCCACAATTCTTCCTATTTCAATTTTGGGCATTTTCTTTAACCTCTGTTTCTTTATTAAAGTACAGTCATCAGGAATGGCCACAGGTACCCTCACCCCACTTTGAAATATTAAGAAAACACACACACAAAAGAGAGAAAAGCACAAAATGGACCTTTTTTCCAAATCTTCCCTACATGTTAATCTCACTTGCAACATGTATGGTTGGAACATAATCTTTTAGAAATCATAGGTTGACATTTTTTTTCCTATAGTTTTCAAATGATATGAAAAATGATTTAACAAATGCTCCACAGTAAAGAACTCCAAAGCACTGTATTTTGGGCAACTTCAAGGCAGTTGAAGATGTGTATGAAAATAAGCATGTATCCATAGAGGGAATTAGCTAAAAAAGAACTTAATAATAAGGGCTTAATCATATAGCACTTTATGGTCTCAAAGCATTCTCGTATTTGGGCCTCCTAAAAACTCTATCATGTAGGGTGGCTGGTGTTTTCTCTCACAAAATCATCTTTTCACAAGATAAACTTGAATTTCACATTAAGTGATTTATTCCAAGTCAACTGGGACTAGAACTCCGATCAAATGGTATCAGACTTACTTTACTCGTGATTTTCAACCACTAGTCTGCACAAGAGTCTGGTGCCCACTGTGTGTCAGGTGCGGGCTGGATAAGGTGGGAAGGGTGTGTGGAAGAGGGTGTGGTATTGAGGATGACTAGGGAGTAGGAGTGGCCCTAGTCCTCCCGTCCCCAGATCAGTCATAGTGCTGCCTTTATTTGTTTTATATACTGGGCCTCCATCACATAACATCATGGTTCTACTGTTCTTGGAATAGAAATGTTTAGTTGCATTAGCTGATTAAATGATTACTATGGCTATAGTTTAAAAAAAGTAAACCAGCATTCAATATTAAATAGTCAATGTTAACATTTATATAAAACAAAAAGTTACCTCAAAATAAAAGATTTCATTAAACTGCGGATTGCTTGTTTTCTTCTTTACTTTTGTCTTCTTTTGGTCATTCCTGTTCCAATGTGGTAGAGTTTTACCTTGTAGAACTTAACAGTACACAATTATAAAACATGCTATTTCCAACCAGGGAGCCTGACCTCCATTAGCTGTTAAGATGACTCAGGGAAAACTATAATTTTAAATATTACTTGGGGAAAATTTTTGAGGTATCTTTAAAGACTCAAATTAAAGAATATACAAGTTTGTATATCCAATATATGACAAGATTGCATTATCCTTTCTATGGCTATACTAGATTGAGTGACTAGCTTACTTTACAGAAGAAACTTAGAATGGCAGAAGGAAGACAATGAGATGCAGAGTACCTTTATCTATGCTGAAAAATACCCAAAGAACACAAAAAGCATGCTTAACTCAGTTTACTGCTTGGGGGCTTGGCTACAACGTGGCTTTTTAAATAACCTTTTATTTCAAATAATTAGAGAAGGTTGCAAAGAAATGTACAGGGAAGTCCTACGCAGTCTTTCCCTAGCCTCCCCCAATGTTAGCATCTTATACAACAATAGTACAATACCAATACCAATAATGACTTTTAAAACCAAATTCATATGCCAGTTTCCCATTTGTATGTTACTAAATGATTATACTAAAGATTGTGTCTTCAGCTACAGATTATGAACAAAAACAAAAAACAGCTCTGCTAGGTTAAACATTTTTAGCATACACATACAAAACTCGATCCCTCTGATAGCATGCATGTTATAGGACTGAGTATCTGCTTTCAATTTAAAACCATCTATAGCAATAATAGTACACTGTTGATTAAGCACCCAGTAAGCACTAGGCATGGTACTAGGTACTTTACATCCATATATATAAATACATTTCTTAAACTGACTTAACAGGTGACTTTCTAAAAAATAAAAATATCTATTTGTACATCTGAAGCTAATATGACATTGTATGTTAACTATACTGGAATTAAGAAAAATGAAAATAAATAAATAAATAAAAAGAATACCTAGAGAGCCTGAAGGTGGGGAGAAGGGGTATGTGTCTGTGTATGTATGTATGTGTTTGGTGTGGAGGGAATATTTTGCTGTTTCCTGATTAAACCTTCGAGTTGTAGGCAAATTTCAGACTAGTCAGGCTCTGAAAGAAATCATAATGAAGTTATAAAATATAAAATATACAAAGTGCTACAGGTTTTTCCATAAATTATCATAAATAATTTAAATCAATGATATGGTGCACTTTACCATGTTCTGGTACTTCAGCAGTCTGTCTACAGCTTGGAATTCTTTCTGTAGAGCACAGATGCCATGAGTAGAAAAGGCATTTTTAGTTCTGAGCCACTTTCCAGATAAAAATATGGAAACTGCCTTGCTATTCGGGGCTAGCATTTCTTGAAATAGAATTTTACCTGCATAAAATCTATGATTGTTTGAAGGTAGGAAGGCCAATGATGAATGAAGAAGGCCAAGTTTATGTTTTTAAGTACATTTTAACTGCGATAGAACTCATGTTGATCCTCACAGTCTAAGAGTCCAGAAGATCCTAGGGACTCATTTTCTTTCTATAAAAACAGGACTTGGTATTTTGCAAGCGTCTAACAGAATTCACTAAAGAGGTTTCTTTCAAAGCATTCATTACTTTGTGTCATAAATAGTTATTTAGGATTTACTCATAGAAGCTTAATTTTTCTAATTCTTAAGTTAAATTTTAAAACTTAAAAATCTAGTAATAATTCACTCTCCTACTCAGAATTCTGAACTCCAGGTTACAAACAGAAGACAACCACTGATCATTTCACTGCAATGAAGTGTCTACTGTTAAAGAAGGAAATCATCTGTTAAGTCCATATACATATTGAAATCTTCAGATTCAGAGATGTTTACATTTCTGGATAACAATCAGTATACTTATGGAAAATAAAGGCATGTTTGAAACTGTTCAGAGATAAAAAAAATAAAAACCTAATAATAATTCAATAAACATTACCTACCAAGGACATGAATGGAGCTACAGAGTATTATGCTAAGTGATATAAGTCAGTCAGAGAAAGACAAATGCCATAATGATTTCACTCACATGTGGAATTTAAGAAACAAAAGAGCAAAGGGAAAAAAAGAGACAGAGGCACACCAAGAAACAGATTTGTTAACTATACAGAATAAGCTAATGGTTACCAGAAGGGAGGGAGGTGGGGAGATGGGTGAAATAGGTGATGGGGATTAAGGAGTGCACTTGTGAGGAGCATATACAAATATGTTGTACGGAAGTGTCGAATCATTATACTATACGCCTGAAACTAATAATACACTGTATGTTAACTAATTGGAACTTAAATAAAACCAAAACATTACCTAGAAGGGCCCACTAGAGAAACTGTTGCGTAAGAGTCACAGCTTTGTCCATTTATGAGAGGCAACCCGTGACATGCCACGATGCTAAGGAAGAATAAAAGAAAATTAACAGTATATTTAAGTTAAACAACATAAAACATTATCTTTAAATATCCAAAGGACTAAAGCTTTATCTCAGGTCTGCAATTGTATGCCTAGATACCATCTACCTCAAATATATCTATTGTGCACTTATTTACTTATGCTACACTTCTGAAATAGGACTTAAACTAGAATGCCATTAATCAGTACCAACACTACCAAATAATATTTAGCACAAATCCCCAAGCTAAGTATGCAGCAAGGTACATTTTGTGGTTTGATAATATACTAACACTGCTGTGGCTTCTAAACAGGAAAAGAATGTGGTGTGAACCTTAAAGGAGAAACTACAAACCAAGCGAGACCTATGGCATCACATCCTCTGCTGAAGCATGAATGAGAAACAAGGAAATGACTGTGGTTTCCACTTCAAATCTGATTCATAAATAGAGGGCAAGTCTCCCACAATTCTGTAGCCTTTTATTCTGATTCTCAGTAACAGCTCCTGTATCATTCTGTAGAAAATGTTTTTAGATCTTAAAACCCAAGGTCTTCTAATCCACTCCATGGGTAAAGTCATTGGTATATACAGAGGACATAGAATCTAACTAAATGGTCTGTTCCTCAAAGTTTCTCACTAAATATTGAGTCCACAAATGTAGTTTAATATCTAAGGGTTTGCATTTCTTAATGCCTAAGACAAACTCATGAGAGTTGCTGAAAAGTACTCTTTGTAGAAAGATGTGGGCTATTGAGCAACATCCTTATTTCTCTCCACAACCCACAGATCATATATGTGGGTGAAGTGCATATGGTGTGCTACTGAGTCAAGAAGAAATGAATATGACTCATTCGATTAAATTGGGTATCAAAAATCAAAATTTAAAAATTTCTCAAACTAACCAAAGAAAGCATAGGCCAAGATGATAATTCTAGTTATTAATGTTAGGCCTGGGTACACTCAAATTTTCCAACTATGTACTGTTTGAAACTGACAATCCTCAGGCTAACCTCAGGCTAATCCTCAAAATGATACCTGATTTTTATGTAGCATGTGCACTTTACCATGTATTTTCACAAAATGTATCTAATTCCCACAACTGCCTTTGAGAAAAATACACCTTAAAGAAGAAAGTAAGGCTCAAAAAGATTATGTGAGAAATTAACAAAATAAGGCTGAAGAGGTAACACAACTTGTACAAAGTTACAAAGTTACTTTCTTAACTGTTTCCCAATCCAGCTTCTTTCTCTGTTCTCTACTGCACCTGAATATATTATATTACTCTCTTTGTAATACCACATGTATCTCAAATAAACACTAATTATGAGAAATCTTATAGAAAAGTTGCTATAATTTTATGAGGTATAAAAAAACTGAGAAAAATAGTTCATAATACCATAATATCATAATAGAATACATAATACTTCTATAAGAATACTTCACAAAACAAAACAATGATGCCCATTAATCCAGAAGTGTGAATTTATAAAAATCATCAGAAGTGGTCTTTTAAGTGTAAGACAGTTTTAAAATCGTTTTCTGACAAACAAAAGTATTATTAAATGCAAATTACTTTATTTGCTACCTATGTTATGAAATATTTTTACAATTATTCTTCTAATCAGATAATCAAACAAACTCCTATCATAAACATGAAGGAGTGAAAACAAATACTGAAAATGAGCTTAGTATACTGAATTATCTTACACTTTGTTACTTTCTTTAATTTTTTTTTTTTTTTTTTTTTTGAGAGAGAGAGAGAGAGAGAACAAGCAAGCAGGAGTGGGGCAGAGAGAGAATCCCAAGCAGGCTCTACACTGTCAGCACAGAGCACCATGCAGGGCTTCAAACTGTAATACCATGACCTGAGCCAAATCAAGAGCCAGATGCTTAACTGACTGAGCCACTCAGGCACCCCCTTTAAAAAACAAACTAACAGACAAATGTTAATGTCCATATACAGCCAAGATGGAGTAACAGGGAATGGAATTCCCTCTCTGCCTGAAATAACTGGGGGGGGGGGGGGGGGGGGAAGAGGAACAAAATCAGCAGTGTAGGGCAGTGATCTCTGAGGGGAGAAAAAAAATGAAGTGAGTCCCTAACTATTCCTGAGAAGAAGAGCTGGGGAAGACCAAAGTCACTAGAGTTCCCAGACAGAATACTGGAGGGAAGAAAGCTGCATAGAAACAAAGAAACCTCCAGAGAGCTGTAAGAATCCCCCTGGAGTCTTCAGCTGAGTGCTGAGAAGCATATACACATGGGAAAACTAACTGAGGCGGGGGAAAGAATCATTTGAATAGAGTTGAGGGAATGATTCCTGAAGCCCACAAATGGCTAGCATGAGGCCCTACCAACCATAGTATGAAATTTGGTAATTTATAGATGATGCATCATTACTGAGAAAATATAATTCCTAAAGACTGTTTTTATTCCATTCAACAAGGCTTAAAAGCAAACCTCAAAGGAATGAAATCGTTTCCAAGTAACTTAACTAGGTCCTCAAGCATATTGATAGAAATATAAAAATATCCAGAACTCCAAAATGTCTACAATCCAACACAAAATAACTAGGAACACAAAGAATCAACAAAATAAGTGCCATCGAAGGAGGAATAAAGTAAATAGATTTTAAAAGCAATAGAATATATCAATGAAACCAGGAGCTGGTTCTTTGAAAAGATCAATAAAATTAATAAACCTTTAGCCAGACTCATTAAATCAAACTCCACAAAATGCAAAGGATTATAAAATAGTATTATGAAAAGCTATGACAACATGCCAACAAACTGTACAACCTAGAAGAAATGGATAAATGCTAATATCTCTGATGAACACATATGCAAACATCCTCAACAAATTATTAGCAAACTGAATCTAACAATTTATTAAAAAACAATCATTCACCACAATCAAGTTGGATTTATTCCTGGGATGCAAGTGTGGTTCGATATCTGCAAATCAATCAATGTGATACAATATATCAACAAGAAAAATAAAAACCATATGACCAGGGGCATGTGAGTGGCTTAGTTGGTTAAGTATTTGATTCAGGTTATGATCTCATGCTTCGTGGGTTCAAGCCCTGCATCTGGCTCTGTGCAGAGCCTGCTTGGGATTCTCCCTCTCTCTCTCTCTGCCCTTTCCTCACTCGTGTGTGCTCTCTCTCGAAAATAAACACTGAAAGAAAAAAAAAAAAAGCAGAGGCTCTGATTAAAAGAGTCAGAAAAATATATACTAACACTAATCAAAAGAAAGCCGATTCTCTGGGTAATAACAAGTCCATCAGTAGGGGTCCGGATGAATAACTGATAGTAAATCTATATATCAGAATTCTATGTAGTTGTCAAAAAGAGTAAAATAAATCTCTATTCTCTAATTACTCTGATATGGAGGGTAGGGGGTTACGAATGAATGTGATACTTCTCCAAACACACCTTATAGAAGTTCTGACTTCAGAAACAAAAAAGACTTTTACGTTTCAAAAGTAAAATTAAACTTAAGCAATCCTTAAAAATGAGGAATAAACTCTGAAAAACCACTAAAAAAGAAAGAATTATTTCAATAGACTAGAACATAGTATTTGACTCTGTATCCTTAGAACAAACAGAACAGTAAGATCTTTTAAACTTCATTCAGTAATCTCAATGCCAGTGGTAATAGCGGCATTTTTATTTTGAATCTATCTTCCATACTATATAAGATAATGACAGTAATTGTTAATGTTGTCAGGGATTAAGATTTTCAATGTAAGAGGAAAGAGATACAGTATAAAATCAAAGTTAGGTAAAAAATCTTGTAATACTAAATTTAAATTAGGAACATGAAAGAAGGAAGGAGAGAAAGAAAAGAGAGAACAAAGGCAAAAGAAAGAAAGAAAACCTGCCAGTCAGAGAGGCTATATTATTATCAGACAAAGCAGATTTCACAACAAAGAATAGTCCCAGGGATAAAGATGATCATTTTATAATAGAGAGGAATTCAATTTATAATAGGATATAACAACCCTAAATGTTAAACTCCTAATATCAAAGCTGCAAAAGAAGCAAAAACTGATATAACTACAGGGAGAAACAGAAAAATCCACAAACAGCTGGAGATAGCATCACTTCCTCACAATAACTGATAGACAATTAAGAATGAAAGTTAAACAAGACTGTCAACCAACCTGACATAATCAACATTTATAAAAAAATATTCTAACCATTCAAAGCAGAAAACATATTAATTTCAAATGCACAGGAACATATACCAAGTTTAAATAACAGTTTGTGGACAAAAAACAAGTCTTGGCAAATTTATAAGTATTCAGATTATACAAAATATGTTGACAACAGCAGAATTAAATTAGAAGTCAACAGCAAAAAGATACCTGGAAAATCTTCAAATGCTTGGGAACAAAATAACTCACAATTAAATAATCCATGGGTTGAAGAATAAAACAAAAGAAAAATTATAAAAGCATTCTGAACTTTTATTGCATTACAATGAAAACTCAGCACATCACAATTTGTGGGGGCAGTTAAAACAGTACTCAAAAGAAAATGGATAGCACTAAACACTAACATTAGGAAAGGAGAAAGATTTTCAATCACTGTCTTCTTCAGCCTCCATCACAAGAAACTTAAAAAAGAAAAACAAACCTAAAGTAAACAAAAATAGAGTGGAAATCAAGATAGAAAACAAAAAAATATAAAAAAAATCAATGAAATCAAGTCATTTCTTTTTTTTTAATTTTTAAAAAATGTTTTATTTATTTTTGAGAGAGAGCGAGAGAGAGCGAGAGAGAGCGAGAGCGAGAGAGAGAGAGAGAGAGAGAGAGACAGAGTGTGAGCGGGGAGAGGCACAGAGAGAAAGGGAGACACAGAACCTGAAGCACGCTCTAGACTCGGCACTGTCAGCAAAGTCCCATGCGGGGCTTGAAGATCATGAGATCGAACCATGAGATCATGACCTAAGCCAAAGTCAGATGTTTAACCAACTGAGCCACCCAGGTACCCCCTATGCTTAAAGAAAGCCATTTCTTTCAGGTCATTAAAATTGATAAACTTTAGCTAGACTGATTAAGAAAAATAGAGTAGAGACACAAATTGCCAACTTTAGGAATGAGGAACATGACATCACTGTTAAGTCTACAGACATTAAAAGTAGAAAAAAAGGAGTAACTTGTATTCCTTTACACCAAAGAATTGGACAACTCAGATTAAATGGTCAATTTCTTGAAAGATGCAAATTACCAAAGATCACATTAAAAAATCTGAAAAGCAGGGCACCTGGGTAGCTCAGTGGTTAAGCATCTGACTCTTGATTTCTTTGGCTCAGGTCATGATCCTACAGTCCTGAGATCTAGCCTGTGTTGGGCTCTGCTTAAGAGCCTGCTTAACATTCTCTCTCTCCCTCTGTCCCTCCCCAGCTCACGTGCTTAGTCTCTTAAAAAAAAAAAAAAAAAAAAAAAGAAAAGAAAAACAAC